TTTTCCCCCTGAGACAGGGTCTCACTCTGTCACTCAGGCTGGAGTACAGTGGTGTGATTACAGTTCACTGCAGCCTCAACCCCTGGGGCTCAGGTAATCCTGCCACCTCAGTCTTCTGAGTAGCTAGGACCACAGGTACATGCCACCACGCCCTGCTAATTTTTGTATTTTTTGTAGAGATGGGGTTTCACCATGTTGCCCTGGCTGGTCTCCCAGCTCCTGAGCTCATGCCGTCTCTCAAAGTGTCGGGATTCTAGGCATGAGCCACCACGCCAGGCAATAGTATGATTATTAATTAATGTTGCTGATTGTTCCTGTGGTTGAACGTGTCCCCCAGTAAGTATGTGTTGGAAACTTTATCTCCAATGCCACAGTGTTGAGAGGTGGGATGCCTGAGGGGTGATTAGGCCACGAGGACTCCGCCCACATGAATAGATTAAAGGAGATTTTAAAAGGGCTTGAGACTGCAAATTTGATATCTTGCTCTCTAGTCTTTTACCACTGAACGAGGCAACAAGAAGGCCCTTGTGAGATGCCAGCACCTTCATATTGGACTTCCCAGCCTTCAGAAATGTGAGAAATAAGTTTCTTTTCTTTATCAATTACCCAGTCTCAGTATTCTGTTATAGCAACACAAAATGGATTGAGACAGTTGACTCAAACATTAGTAATTCTAACTGTACATTTGAGGATATGAAACAGTACGTAAGTGTGGCTTAAGCAAAAAGTAATATGACATCTTAAGTCTCAGACTACCCATTATTACAGCTGAAATACCTGTACAGCATGTCGGTCTGAACCACTGTAGACAGAGATCTGTGGCTGCTGCATTCGAGAGGAGGAAGTGGTGATGGTGGTGGTGGTGGTACTGCTGGTTGTGGTTGACACAGATGTTCCAGGGTTTGGTTCACTATCCATAACTGTACTATGGTCCTTAAATCTGGCAGGTCACACAAAGGGTTTGTATCGGTAAAAGCATTCTCTTACGAGCTTTAAAGAATATTCATTTCAAAGAAATAATCAGCAGTAATCTAAATTGCTAGGAAAGCCCTCATAAAATAGAGCCAGCATATAGTCACTATAAGCACTTACAAGAGAAAATACTTCACATATATGGAGCAAATTTAATAGTTAATACCTATTACATTTGAATTCAAATGATTCAGAATATGTAACGCAGATAAAGCATAGCCAAAAGTTTATCTTTGCATTACTGAAAGTTTTTTTTTTAAACCAAAACAGGTGATGAGAGAATACTAAACTACCTAGGAAAATAAAAATGTAAGCAGTGTCAGAGTATTTTAAAACATTTCTTTACATTCTTTTGATCACACTAATTACAAAGTAAAGTCATTCTTACACATTAGAACAGAATGCCTAAGGACTCATGTTAACTAGCTTAGTTTCGTATACCATATATACTTTGCTTAAAAAATAAGTTCTTTTTAAAAAAAAGTTAAAAAGTGCCAGGTGCAGTGGCTCATGCCTGTAACCCCAGCACTTTGGGAGGCCGAGGCAGGAGGATCACCTGAGGTCAGGAGTTCAGGTCCAGCCTGGCCAACATGGTGAAACCCCCATCTCTACAAAAAATACAAAACTTAGCCGGGTGTAGTGGCAGGCACGTGTAATCCCAGCTACTTGGGAGGCTGAGGCAGGAGAATCACTTGAACCTGGGAGGTAGAGGTTGCAGTGAGCCGAGATCATGCCATTTCACTCCAGCCTGGGTGACAGACCAAGACTTTGTCTCAAAAAAAAAAAAAAAAAAGTTAAAAAGTAGTTTTTTTTTAAACTCACGCTGGCTTTTCCCCTAGTCAGTCAACAATACTGTCCTTACTCCTTCTAATAACTGAGTTATACTTACAAGCAAATTTCTGTAAGAACACAGAGAAGCAGTTAACAGCAACTTCTCACATCCTTACAAAATCTTTTTCACAAAGAATTACTCCAGATTTTGAAAATATAAATTATGTCACTTCCTCATGCATGGACAGTAAAATACACTTTTATGCCAGACTTTCAAATCTTTTCCCTCCAATATTATAATCTTACATTCACTTGTGGTACAAAATTCCACTAAATACAGAATCTGTATTTGAATAAATTCAAGCTTTTTTTT